AGGTCCGTGTGTGTGTGTGTGTGTGTGCGTGTGTGTGTGTGTGTGGGCGTGTCTGTCTGTCTGCCTATGTATCTACGGTATGTATTGGTGCTTCGCCGTCGGACATGTGTACATGCGTGTGTACATGTGGTTACATGTGGACATTGACTCCCCGTATACATGCGTGTGCACAAGTATGTGTGTACAGGCGCTTCTGCACATGGGTGCCGATGTTGTTGCAGATGTACATGTATATGCATATATTATATATTCATATGCATGCGTGTGTGCGCGTGCTTGCATACATGGGGTGTGTGCGTGTGTACGTGCTTTTATCTATGCGCCGACGTATGGTACCTCGCTCTTACAGTCTCTCGTCCTCCATACTTGCCCGCCTGCCTGTGAATACCTTGCCAATGAGCATGCAGGATGCCCAGGAAAACCGCCATCGCCACCGCAACCCACACCCTAAATGCAGAATCGCGCAAAAAAAAATGCTTATTAGTCTCCCCTTAAACGTCCCTACACCCAACCCCAAACCCTAAAAGCCTAGACCGGAAACCTACTGTAATAGCCTGGAGCCGCCAGGGCACATAGCCAACCAGCGCTGCCTTGGCGATGCCCAGTGCATCGAGCACCGCGCAAGCGATGTCCACCGGGCCACCCTGCACATGAAATGTCATATAATATGAAGCAATATCATCTCATATCGTCTAGATGTACATTAACAACTCGGAGCTATGCAACAACGGGCATCTTCTTTCCACCTGCTGCCCTAGGTGACTCGAACCGTGGTTTGCGAGACATACGCAAAACTGACAATAATTCTCGATTCCCTTCAGGGTTTACGCCTTTCGGGTTTGGGGCTCTCACTCACACGCAAGGCGGGCAAACAACCGATGTGGTTGAAAGTTCAATCTAAGGATCACACCTAACCCCGGTTCCCAGCGCACTCATGCCATCCACTCTGGGTCGGGAGAAGATTCGCAGTTTCGAGCTGGTGAGGTTCAAGTTCAAGCATCAAGGGTGCCCGATGCTTCGACGTTTTCTGCAAAGCCTTCACCGCCTTAGCCCCATCAACCATAACCCTTTGGCCTTTGGCCCTTACCGACCGAAGCTTGTGCCTCCAAGCCCCAAACCCCAAACCCTGAACCCTAAACCCTGTGTTCCGCCTTGGCTGCGTTGAATTCGGAGCGGCTACTCAGCTTCGTCCCCGGGGAGCCCCCGCAACCGGGCATGTCGATGGCCTTGGAGCCATTTGGCGCATTTCTACTAGTAGCAAAGTAGGAGTAATGACAGCACTATTTCAGTATAGGGTTCAACGTTTTTTGCAAGTTCGTGTGTTTTTTTGTGAGGGAATTTCGTCGAAGGTTAGGCCTGAACGGGTAAATCGGGTCTTTTGCCTCCCGCCAAAAGCACGGCTTTGGGTTTTGGCTTTAGGTTTCGGGGTTTAGGGTTTAGGGTTTAGGGCTTTAGGTTTTCGACTCCCACAAGCATTGCCCTGAGAACGGGTTGGGGATTCGTTCATTTTTCATGGCCCAGACTGAGCTGCCAGCAATTGCACGGTACTTGTTGTAGATCAAGGCTGGAAACAGCCACCTCAGCCAGGTTAGGAACACAACTGCCGCTCGCCAGCACGCAGCTTCGAGTCCTGGGATCCTTACACCGGGGGTAAGACTGCCATCCTGTCCAGGCATTTTTGCAGGAAGTGTCACAGATCAAGGTTTGTCCTCCCGTCTCACTTCTGTTGTTGAACTATCAGAATTGCATCTATGTAGGTGGCAGGGGTTGGCTCAGTTCTGACAGGACTCCTGTAATTCATGAATCTCGGCTGTGCCGCTTCCACGTCGTGGCGTCGGAAGGACAACCATGCATGAGCAGCACTGCCTGGAGCCGCAAGGACAATTGGGAGTTTAGGGTTTAGAGGGGCTGCACCAAACACTGCAAAAGCCCCCTACAATCCAAGCACTCCTAACTGGAAGAGAGACCGAGCCTGGGAAAGTGAGAATTATCTCCCTGATAGGTCTGTAGTTGATTTTTTGGGCCCAGGCAGACTACACGAAGTTGATTTCCCAGCTGCCGGGCTCAGGGTTTGCCAAACCTCGAACTGGCCTCTGTCAGTTAGAGCCAACTGGTCACGAGGGTTCTGCCAGTCTAGATCCTAGAAGATGAGAAACACACTCACTGAGAAAGCCCACCTCACCATCCGTGGGGCCGCAGGTGAGCACCTGGATTTGGCCTGAAAGCATGTGCTCTGTGACAAGATCTTGGGCGTGCAGGATGCAGGAACATTCAGAGTGTTACCAACGGAAGCTCTGGCATGGACCTTCAGGATTGCATGACTTGCGAGTTTCGGGAGAGGTGAACCCGGATTGTCGCTTGGCTTCACCCGGAAGCCACAGAAACCCTCCACCGCCCCCCTGGGATACGCCTGCCGGCGTATCCAGCAATGTGGACTCAGTCATGGAGGCCGCCTGCAATCTTGGGGGCGATGGCATCTCTTTGTAGAATTTTCTGCCTCCCACCTAGCTAGGACGAAGCCCGCAATGCAGGGTACACAGCCGTTAAGGGGTTAAACGCTTAGGGTTTAGGGTTTCGGTGCTCACATTCGGGTTTGGGGTTATTTTAAGCTTTCCGGCCACTGGGAATTCATGGCAGGCAAGGAGAGAACTGTTTCGCGAGCTGCCAGGGATGCAGGCGTCTGCGAAAGCGAACGCCAAGATTGCGACACTCCCACGGCAAGTATTCATATATATATATATATATATATATGTGTGTGTGTGTGTGTACACGTCATATACATAAGGTTATCATATATAACATGCATGGAAAATAAGATATCTGAGAAGCCCGAGGAACGACCCAAGGCCAAGGCTGGGAGCCCGGGCGTCCAGAGTGGCCAGGGAGGCCCAGGGGCATTCGGCCACCTCCTCCGGCTCCTCCTGCACGATTTGGGGTTTAGGATTTAGGGCCTGAGGTTTAGGGGCGTAGAGGTTAGCATGTAGGGTTTAGGGTGTAGGGTTTAAGGGTTTAGCAGTTGAAAAGAAAAGGGATTCAAGGCCTGGAGCCTCGTTGAATAAGAGCTTCTGAAAGGGGGAGCAATGCGACAGCAAAATCCTAGGTCCCAGCTTGGCCTGCTTGCGTTTCGAGGGTCGAGATTGTAATGCTTTCACGGTCTTCCCCCTGGGCCGTGACGGGTGTCGTCCATGGTCCTATGATGTGTGAATTCACGCAGCCCTCTGCAAGAAAAAGCAGCCACAAAGCACCTTGGCTTTGGGAGCTGACTCCCACGGCCGCGGCTTCTTCACAGAGTTCCTCGGCAGGGGTGGAGGGGGGGGGGAAGGGCGTTAGGTTTCAGCACTCGCAACTAAAACAAGCCTGGCGAGGTGGCTGGTACGACGAAGCACAGTAGGGTATAGGATATGAAGGGGTTTTCCGGGCTTATAGACTCTGGATTTAGAGCTTTGGAGGTTAGGGTTTGGGAGGTTCGGGCTCAAACTCTTGCGACATGCCAGATCGTGATGATCGTGCGAGTTCTGATGGAGAGTGTCAGTATTCCCGAGGCATGTCGCCGCACAATGAATGTGCTGAGCCTTAATGTATTTCAACATCGGATCCTGGAGTGTCGACCTGTGGACCACCAACAGACTGATAGGACTAAGCAGGGACTAAGTATTCTACTGGGCTAAACGCATGCCAGTATTGCAGTGGTCCCTCCCCCCTTACAGCTGTCACATGGGACCCTACAGACTTATTCCGGAGGGAGAGTCGTTGTTTACAATCGCAGTCATGACGGTCGACTAGTGTAAACAGGCGTGCATTGCCACTGGTGCTCTATATGCTGCGGTCACGTCATTGATTTATGAGTACAGTGGCTACCACTTAGATATGGTCAGGCAACGACTATTGCCACTATCACCTTTGTGAAAATCATGCTTCCAGCTTCGAAGATTAGGGCCTGTGGCGGGGATCTGGGCCTTAATAGTTAGAAGAGAGTCTTGGAATATGTCTTTTGGCTAGTTATGAAAAGACAGTCATGAAGGGATACTACTACATGTTACTCCGACCTACTATGGCTTACTATTCCTTGTGCTGAGGCCCGAGGAATGAGAGCCATCGGAAAGGAAGGAGCTCTAACACGCCAAGGCGCACGAAGACCTGTGGAGTGGGAGTGCAAAGGCTGGCTACTTATCGTGCTGCCCTGGCTTTTGATGCCACTTCAATCGATAATGCTGCTACTACTGCTACTACTACTACTACTACTACTGCTACTACTACTACCACCACCACCACCACCACCACGACTACTACGACGACGACGACGACGACAACGACTACCGCTACCGCTACCGCTACCGCTACCGCTACCGCTACCGCTACCGCTACTGCTACTGCTACTGCTACTGCTACTGCTACTGCTACTGCTACTACAAACCCTGCGGCTACCGCTTCTGCTGTTGCTAGTACTACTACTGCTACTAAGGAGCATAAACTCCTGTTCGTGCTGCTGTCACCGCTACAGTGCTACTATCGAGCCGTACATGCAGGGTGGGTCGGCAATTATCAGAGAGATCGGGTTTGGCTCCAGTGCAAAGGGGCGGCATCTATGACACACTGTATATTCCTTGCTTGGGGAGTCTCTGGTGCTCTGCGTACCCAAGCTGGAAGACTCCAAATCACGAACGCTGCAACCGCTGCCTCGCCCCGGATGCGACGGCAGCTGGAAGCGAAGTTCAGCGTGCCTTCGGACTCTCGCGAATGCCTGGTCATGTGGAAACGGCTGCTCTCGTGTGCGACGCGATATTCGAGGAACTTTCCCTGCAATTATCTTAGGTGAACGGCCACCGTCTCATGCTGTTGACTACTGGGCTCGCCACATCTACACAAGATCGATCCTTGTGACATCCAAGGCTCCTGTTAAACCGAATTACACGGTTTACAAGTGCGAGCACAGGTTCTGAAGCTGGACAGTGCAATGATTCGGGGCCTGACGATTGCGATTCAGCACGACCCAGTCTGCCGAACGTTTCTTTGGTCAAGAGTCCAGGTATGCCCTCAAAACCAGTGTATGGCTTTCGGGTTGTAGGGAAGGCGTCGGGCGCGGGAGCGGAGAGCTCGCTTTGAAGAGTCCAGGAGAGTGGGTTCAAAACATTTCAAAATATCAAAACTATGGGAGTTCTTATTGGGCTTCGGCGCGCATACTCGGACTCTCCAGGGGGAACAGCTGAACCCCTTAAACAACCAGAGCTAGCTGTCCTCCTTTCCTTGCTTGGCGCGATATGTGCAAGCAAACCTCTGACCCTATCAGAAAAAATGCAATGCTGAGCACCGCTCGCAATTGATCCTAGGAGCTCTATACACCTTGGCCGCAAACACTGCTGGATGCGGCCGACAAGCTCCACT